GTCGGAGAATCAAGTTGGAACGTTGGCAGCGCCGGTCCAACTGAGCCTCATGTCCAACGTTGAAGTATTGCCACCAGTGCATTTGAATGTGGGTTGTGATGTTGTTATGGAAAACCACGGGAAATCTTCTTCACGTTAAATCACTTATTAGAATTAAACGGAAAATCTACTCGGTGAGAGAGGAGAGAGAGAGAGAGGGAGAGAGAGAGAGAGAGAGAGAGAGAGAGAGTTACCTTAACTCTACTTCAGAGCTACCTTAAGTTCGGAAAATTACTTAAATTGGTTACCTATCGCATGAATCGATTCCCTAAATTTTGAGAATAATGATCATTAAATAAATTCATTCAATAAACCAGATATTTTGCAGATAGTTTTGTCGAGTCAGTTAGGTTGAGTTGGAGTTTAATATTTTTTAGATTTTTTTACGTAAATTCGGTTAAGGAGCAGGATATCACCGTGGAATATTTCGCCAAAATAATGTGCTACCCAGTGTTTCCTGTAACCCTTTTTGGTCTGTCGATAGAGTGAGTACATCGGTCGAGTTGAAATGCTTGCGCTCCCTTGAGCGAGAGTGTTAGGGCTTTCAGTTGGTAGGCCGTGGAGACGATCGCCCAGTCGTCGAAACGGATTGCCATTGGGTTTTTAATCAATTTTGCGTTTGCGTTTTCATTGGTAAAGTCCTAATTCCTCTCCGGAGAGTGCCCTCTGTAGATAAGCTACCGTATTCCGGTCGTAGATGAAGCGAAGACCCGCTCAACCATCTCAGTTTCGTTTTGAGTTCAAGTAATTACGATTTAGTTCAGTTAAAATAATGAAAATCAATATGATATGAAAATTCAAATTTAAATATTTAATTATTTCGCGCACAATTATCCCGGGAATTGATTGTTCGCATCCCCAACACTCGAGTCAGCACCGTACGGGGCTAGTCTCCACCAGACTCCCCACCACTACGCAACAGGCCCGAGCGGAAACACGCAGTAGTCGCCCGGACGTTACCTGCACAAGAGCTCTCTCCTAACACCGCTTCGTAAGACGCTAATTGCGGAGGTAATCATCGTAGATAATTAACCAAAACTCGGTTATATCGACACTCCGGGATCATGGTGAGAAGTACCTGTGTACCTTTTTATTAGTGATTTTGGTGATTTTAGTGCGGTTTTGCGGAAATAAAATAAGTCACGTGAAATGGCGTCGCTACCTCTCGAAATGACGCCTACACCGATAACCATGGTTTGAAGGACAGAAAACCCTTCAAACGAACCCAAATGCTCCCTGGAAGCTACCTGAAATTATCTAGATGATATATATGCTACCTGAATTATTAATTTGTGTGAGAATTAATGATTTATGCGTCTCGCTACGACGATTGATGCCACTTACTACCTGTTCCATGGCTACCTTTTGGCTTGCTTCCTTTTCGCTTGCTCTCTTAATTGCTTATCGGCGCTTAATTTCGCTATGCTACCTATTTCTTCTATTTTCCCCAACTCACAAGAGTTTTGGAGGAAAAATTATACCTGAGATGATGTCGTCACGCTACCTTTTATGCGTTTTGATACTCTATAGCGTTTGTTAAGTTTTGGATTCCGGTTGGGCATGGGGACACTATCTTTTCAGTTATCTTCACTTCTATGGTTGGAATCCAAAACAATAAAATTGTTCAAGCTCCGTTTGGTTAATTTGACGGTTCTCTAACGGTTAGAAATTAATTTGAGACCATAAGCTACCTACGTTCGTGGAGAAAACCTCCATTTCTGGTTCAGAAATGCTCGCTTCAACGCTCAACGGTTCCGTTTGCGGTTCGTCGATTCCGCGTTGCTAAAAATCGGCTGACGCCCTAAACACTCGAAGTAAGGATTGAATGAGCTGGTGATTGTTCCTGGAGTCCAGTTTTAGCATTACGGTTTTTGGCGTTTCAGACTTGTCGGATTGCGGGAACGAAGGTAATGATTTGGCCGTGTTTGGATAATCGGGAATATTGGGTTAGGGTTTTATTGCGTATTTGTTGAGGCCAAAGAAAAATCATTACAAATTAGTAGGAGACCGTGGGATTAAATAGACACTTTGAACCCTTTTCAAAATGTTGATGTCTTATTGAAGTGGTGATGAAATAATTTTTTTTTTTAAATTAAAGTACAGTCAGCCCCTTTGTAATAAGCTTAGACTACCCTCAATCGATAAATTTGTTCCTTGGTTAAGTCTTAATAACGCGTTATACCAACCCATAGTAAACCGAGTCGTGTATTTTAAACAACCAACAAATAATATACCATCCTTTTACCGACTAAATACGCGAGTGTTTATTTAGAACTTCACCAAGTAATATCCCAACATCCCTATGAATGAGCGAATCCCCCATGAGCTCACCGCCGAAGTTAGCTGAGGATTATGTGACCATACAAAAGGAGTACAGTGCAGGAATACGTGAAACGGTGTAGTGAAAAGGAGATTCCTCTCACTGACAGTAATAGCTGGATGGAAAAGGACTACCATTCACTGAGTTTTACCTCCGGGTAAAACTCGAAACGTCACACTTATTTGGAAAAAAATAATGAAATCTGCCTAAAAACACAAAAATAAATGTTTTTGTAAAAAAACTGGGCCAAGAAAAAGTTTTGTTTTATTCCTACTGGGATATCGAAATTTTTGAAAAATACATAGAAATAAAAAAGGAAGCCAAGTCAGGAATTCTGAATAAATAATGATAGTGCACAATCAGGTTTCTATAAGAAAAATAGTTCTCAATGGAATAAGTACTCTAAAAAAATTCTCCATGGAATAAAAAATCTATAGGAGCAGGACCAACGTTGTTGGCGCGGAGTTTTTCAACTCACTGTCTGTATCAATCTAATCTTCCATCCGTTGATCCGCGTCTAAAACTCAAACACTAGAAATTTTAGGCTCGAGAGCAACTCTTCGACAGAAGTTAACCAAAACAATTCTGTTTTATAGCGTTTTAATGTTTATGGATTGTTAAGAAATTATCATTCGAGAAAAAAATATCATTAGATCTTTTTTGCGGCTGGATAATTTTCTGACAAAAACAGTCTTTTTACATTTCCTCTCAGAATTCCTCTTTATAAAGATGGAGCAACATTTAATGAGATGGAGGAATTGCGTTGTAACACCTAACCAGCGCATTACTCGTCTTCACATCTTCTCAATATGTAGCCCTAGGGCCGGTTTGTTCATGTTCCTTTTCCTCTAAAGGCCCATTTTGCAAACGGAGCTTTAGCAAACGGTCGATTGAAATAACACATGGAGGCCTCTAGCCAAACGGATGATTGGGCAAACGGACCCTTTGTTAAACGAGCCTTTAGAGCAAAAGGTACATGAACAAACCGGCCGCTACTCCACTGAGCGGTCGCCAATAGTTCTCGACCAGACTGTGCGACAAAGACAGGTGGCCTCACGAATTTCTTTCTCTCTCGCACAGAACCGAGGGCTCAGTACACTTTCCAGTATAGTTATATTTCAGTGCTTACAGTAGGACTCCTATAATTGCGACCCGACGGGGGAACGAATTCCGAGAAGTCGAAAATAGTCGGCCGAGCTCTCATTGGCCAAGCGCGCGGAGTGGGGAGGTCAGAGAGAGAACGCATTATGTTGCTCTCTGTATTCGGCCGTCGGGCAACAGTGCGTACATAACCCCAAAGTACATTTTTCCCAATGATTGAGGTTAGGGAAACACTCGGGAGCATAGGGCTATGCGCCCGGGAGATGATGGGACCATTCCGTAAACGGAAGGAGTGGGGACTGAAAACGCGAGAATAGGAACGCTGTGACTTCGCCGGTTGAAAATAGCCGGCTCGAAATTACAGGAGTCCTACTGTACTGTTGTAGGGCAAGTACCAAAAACAATGAAGTTGAAGTCCCCTGAATGAAATTAACAAAAGTGGTATGTATTAACGAAAGCTTTGCATTGATATATACAATTGGGGCTCGTCTCTGATTCGATTAATTATGCGCCTCAATAATAAATGGGTTTTTACTTCATTGATCCCCTTAGAACCTGAAAGTGTAACTGAAATTTTTCAATTGGAAGCTTCAGCGCCGCCACTCGTCAATTTAACATCGTGAATAGGAAGCGTTTTACCAATTTTTTTTAATAGTAGTGAGACGATGTGTGGTGAGACGATTGTCATTTGTTCCCTATTGTTAAAGGGAGACTGCTATGAGTTTTAAAAGTCGCGGGCTATTGGAATTCTCATACATTGAAGATCAATTATATATGTCTAAAAATGAATAATTAGTACAACAAAATTAATTTATTGTTCGTTTACCTCGCAGACGCTTAGAATAATAAAAATAGTCCACTGCCTCCAATTTTTGAGCTACAAAGGTTTCTTTTTTTTTTCTAAATTTTCGATAAAATGGGTACGATAGCAATTACGAATTAGTTTTTTGAACTTCAACTTCTACACAGCTAATTTCGTAATTTTTTCATGAAAAATTGCACCATTCATGTAAAATAGCCCGAAAAATGTTTCTGAAAGAATCGAGAATGGATTTTAAATATTTTACAGATAATTTTTCTGCATATTTTACATGAATGGCGAAAATTTTTATTTTAAACAAAACAAAATTAGTTGCGTAGGACTCCCATTTCAAAAAACTAATTCATAATTATTATTGCACACATTTTTTCAAAAACGGAAAAAAAGAAACCTCTGTAGCTCAAAAATTGAAGGCCCTGGACTATTTTCAACATTTTAAGCGTGTGCGGGGCAAATGAACAATAAACAATTAATTTTTTTGCACTAATTTTTCATTTTTACACATATATAATCGATCTTCAATGTATGAGAAATTTCACTCCAATCGCCCGCGACTTTTAAAACTCATGGTAGTCACCCCTCAATACAATGTAAAACAAAAGTTCCCACCTTGCTTCTTCTGACCATCAGACCACGATCTGAATCGGACCACTGAGGGAAACATGCGTACCCATGGTACCCAAGTTGAATTGAATTTATGAATTAAAAAAATATTCTCACCTAGGTTCGACGGGGAGAGGTACAGTGAGTAATCCCGGTCCACATCCAACCTTAGCCAGCCTCGCAACTTCTCCGCTGTGAGCTCCAGCAGCAATTACACAAAGTGCGAACTGTATAACTTTCTTCTCATCATTTTCAGTCTTCACTACGACATGATTGAGACCCTGATACCGTTCGTATCCTGTTCCTGATACAATAACTTGCTCGTCTTTTCTGAAAATAAAGCCTTTAACCTCAGCATTGACATACTCAGTGCCCAGATTCACTGCTTTCTTCTTAAAAGCGGAAAGAAGAGACCACGGATCGAACCAGCCTTCCTTTTCAAGGCCTAAACATCCCAGCGCAACTCCCTCAGTATTCATCCAGGGAAATCGTTGTTTAATTTTTTCAGCGGTTAAAAGGATGTTTTTAGCTCCTTTCAAATTTTGAAGTTTGGAGTTTTTTGTGAGGTCTTCTGCTCCATCTTCAGAGGCGAGCGATAGATATCCATATGGATGGAACTGAACATCCACTGGTGGTTCATTTTCTACATGTAAATGTTCATTTATTGTGCGGAGGAATTCAGCTCCATACAAGGACATTTCTATATTTTCTTCGAGGGAAAATTGTTGACGAAGCCCACCTGCAGACAATACTGTGGAGGCCTTGCAGTACTGAAAGAGAATAAAAATGAATAAATGAAACGACAATACGATTAGGAAAAAAAGTTGTGAATGGAAAGTATGTTTTTTAATCTGAAATAATAATGGTGTGCAGGGAGGAGAAAACCTAATGAGTTGGTTTGAGTTGGCATTTGATTTTGTAACGTGTTAAATGATCTGACGAGTGAGTAATGATTGTAATAAGGCGATAGTTGAGGAGATCTGAGTCTTGTCAGTTATATAATTTAGTCATATTATTATTCACATAAATTTTTTATTGAAGGGAGATGGATTTTTTTCATAGCAATTTTCCTTGTAAAGTAAATAAGATATTGATGAAAAATTCTCTAACTTTCTGCAGTTCTAAGATAGACAACATAAATTAAAATCATCAATGGTGGACGAATAAAAGAATAACTGACTACACAGGATAAATTTAATCATTATCCACGAACCGTTGGGTCCTTCTCAATAACAACGACGCTTAATCCTCCATTCGACATTTTCTTCAACCAATAAGCAATTGAGCTCCCAATCGCACCGCCTCCAATGACAACGACATCAACGTGACTAGGATAGTACGTTGAATCAATATCCCATTCGTCAAAGTCAACATTCTTTGGTTCCTTCCAGAAAAGAGCCTTTTGCTTAATTTCTCTCATCTGTTTCCCCATGACTCTAGCAGTCCTAGAGATTGGGTTCTCTGGCTCAACATCCGTTTCCCAGTAATTCTCATCTGTCTCCTTCTGCACATTTCTGTCATCGTCTGCCTGAAATAATTAATCATTTATTACTTGCGAATAGAAGCATTGTAATTCGTCGATTTTTTGGAAAATATTTGTGTACGTCCGTATGTGTGTGCCAAATCCAGGGTATTTTTTTTTATAAATCTTCACAAAACAAGCAGGGGGCTCAGCCGGTCCGACAGAAGAGATGCGACTGTTCCTTTGTGTATTATTAGTTTTGATGTGGATACGTCTATGGTTTCAATATGGGGGGTGATTTTGGGAAGCGGTCCTTATGTGCAGCATTATCTATTGGAATTCTAGAAAATTCTAGACATTTCGAGGCAATTTGAGAAATTTCGAGAGAATTCAATGAGTTTCCAGAAAATTTGAGAGAATGCAAGGAGTTTCTAGGAATTTCGAGAAAGAAGGAAAGACCATGGCCATATCCGCGTGTAATTACAGCTGTATGGAAGATATAGACGCCTGTAATTAACTTCCCGGCAGGGAAGTTATTGTAATGGCCGCGAAAATCAAAAATCGATTTTTCATCAAATCTCCATGTTTCAAGGTCTTTTCGATGTTCCTAGACAATTTTAAACAAAATGTCTGTCTGTCTGTGTGTGTGTGTGTGTGTGTGTGTCTAGGTATGTACGTGGTCAAAATTTTGGTTAACGATTTCTCGTGAACGAATTGTCCGATTTGACTTTTTTTTTTTCAATCGATAGGTTTTCATTCAACTTAGAGCGGATTAGATTTTGGCTGATATCTGTTTATTGGTTTTTGAGTTTTCCCGGAAAGAAAATTTCAAAATGACAAAAAAGTAACGAACATTTTCTTAATCTCATAAAAATCACATATAGAACGATTATAATGAAGAAAATTTCATACTTCTCTTCGATTCCTTCCAAAAATTGGCGTTTTTCTATCAATAAATGAGAAATAAAAAAATTCCAATTGGAATACATCGTTATCGACTGGCGCCTCTACTAATTGATCACTAACTCATCTGAAGTTAGTTGCTAAGAAAGTGTGTTGTTTTTCTAAATTTCTCATTATTTATATCACTCCGATGTTAATATTAACTCTCAATACTAGAAATCTTATCGTATTTCGAGTTAAGAGAAATATTATATGAAAACAAATGCTGAGATCAGTGGTGTACTTCGTCTCATGAAAATGCGATACATTTCTCATGAACGTGACATCTTTTGATCGACCAAGTTTTTGCGTCTACTTCCGGCATGTACACCGACTGTGTCGAACCGGCGTGTGCTTTGATAAAATTATCAAGTGAGAACTGTGTTTACCAAAATGTCGCTTGAGTATGACTTTACGAGCAGTGCGGAAATCGATGCTTTCCTCCCTGGCAATGTAATGATGTGAGTATAGTTATGCATATCATGTAATTAAAAACAAGGGTTTCTCATGAACAAATAAACAGAGTATTGAGAGTTGAAAAGCATTCTTTTAGTCAAAATGGGAGGAATAATAATATCGGGAAATTGTTGGTGCGACCCGTCCGACGGGTCTGACTCACATGAATACATCCGCTACCAACCCACCGGCAATGGGAGCGAGCGCCGCAAGCGACCAACACCCCAATCCACTAGTTTTTTATTATGTTTCATCTCCACGAATTCTATTGATAGTAAGCCTTTGAATGGATCGATAGCCATTCTATTTGGCAAAATAACAAGAAGAGGAAAATTCTGTCCCGTAGTGTTCTACAATGGCTTGATTGTCAAAAAAAATTTCAGCTGCTGTAAGACGACAATTTCCTGACTCAAATTCAATTTCCAATAGAAAATGGATATTCAGTACCAAATTACAAAGAAGATTTAATTAATTGAAATTCGAATAATATACTCGTATGTAATACCATAACCCTAGCGGACCCAGTGGAGAGTCCAACTCTCTATTTGTTCCACGATTAGAGAGTAAGTAGAGAATGGGTAGAGAGTTGGGCTGACAGGGCAGATTGTCTACTCTCCAATGCTTTGAGAGAGTAGATAGCTGAGGCGAGGGATATGCTGACCTTTATTAACTATGGCCTTTGAGAAATTTGACCCTCTAACCGACTGATCCTTGTACTTGGGACCTGTTTGAACTCCCGGAGCTCAAACTTTTGGACCTTTTCAGCTGAAAATACTCTGATTTCATTTGAAATTTTTTAATTGGATCTTTGTGACCCTTATAATTTCAGACCCTTAATATTCCAGACCCTTAAATTGGAACTCTCAATAATTCTGACCCTTGAAAATATTGAAAAGTGCAACTTTTGACTCTTAAACCTTCGGACCCTTAGACTAATCAGTAAATGATAAGAGTCAAATTTTTGACCCTCAATATTTCTGACCCTTAGACTAGCCGTACTATCTACTTTCTACTCTTGTAGAGAGTAGATAGTTGGGAGAGGATGCGTGGTGGGGGCATTCAGACCCTTATTTGTTAGACCCTTAACGTTCCTCATGAGCCTAAAAATTTGACCCTAAATGGTGCTGACCCTTGAACATGTTTAGAGTGAAATTTTAGACTCTTAAAATTTCTGACCCTTAGACTAGTCGTACTATCTACTCTCTACTGTTGTAGAGAGTAGATAGTTGGGATCGGATGCCTGGTGGGGGCTACTGTCTACTCTCTAGACACGTAGAGAGTAGAGAGAGCCCCCACCACGCATCCGATCCCAACTATCTACTCTCTACAACAGTAGAGAGTAGATAGTACGACTAGTCTAAGGGTCAGAAATTTTAAGAGTCTAAAATTTCACTCTAAACATGTTCAAGGGTCAGCACCATTTAGGGTCAAATTTTTAGGCTCATGAGGAACGTTAAGGGTCTAACAAATAAGGGTCTGAATGCCCCCACCACGCATCCTCTCCCAACTATCTACTCTCTACAAGAGTAGAAAGTAGATAGTACGGCTAGTCTAAGGGTCAGAAATATTGAGGGTCAAAAATTTGACTCTTATCATTTACTGATTAGTCTAAGGGTCCGAAGGTTTAAGAGTCNAGGTCTGAAGGTTTAAGGGACAAAAGTTGCACTCTTCAATATTTTCAAGGGTCAGAATTATTGAGAGTTCCAATTTAAGGGTCTGGAATATTAAGGGTCTGAAATTATAAGGGTCACAAAGATCCAATTAAAAAATTTCAAATGAAATCAGAGTATTTTCAGCTGAAAACATTCCAGGGTCCTAAAGTTTGAGCTCCGGGAGTTCAAACAGGTCCCAAGTACAAGGGTCAGTCGGTTAGAGGGTCAAATTTCTCAAGGGCCATAGTTAATAAGGGTCAGCATATCCCTCGCCTCAGCTATCTACTCTCTCAAAGCATTTGAGAGTAGACAATTTGCCCTGTCACCCCAACTCTCTACCCATTCTCTACTTACTCTCTAATCGTGGAACAAATAGAGAAATCACCGTACTCTCTACTGACTCTCACATACGTCCGTTAGGGAAGAGCTTCCAAATCATCAGGTATTTCCCGATAGGTCCGTTTGTATGTAGGGAACCTTGAAGAAAATACCTGAGTAATTTTGAAGCTCGAGTGTTTTTCCACCTAAATTTCGGCCAAGAGAATTCCACTATGAGACAAAATGCATCTGTCAGTTCCAACGAAGGTCTCACTCAACCAGGAAATCTTTTGTTTTTCATATATATCAACGTGAAAAATCACCAGTGGAATTATAAAAAATTACCAGTTGATAACCATGTTGACGATATAAATTAACAGTCGAATAGTACAATTCTATTGGCTGAAATTTGGAGGGGAAATATTCTCATCAGGAGTTCCCCGATTCCTATCAATTTTCATTGAATATTTAAATTAAAATTTACATTTTTTATGGATCATTTCAATTAAATTTCAAAAGTAAACAATGATACGCACAATGGCGTTCAAAAAGAAAGAAAAGGGTTTCGAATCGGGAAGTTCGAAAATGAGTCCAGTCACATGTGAACAGTGGTAGTAGTCTCGAAGATCACATGCGAAACATAAGAATGAGATTCTACAGAAATCATGAGGGCCATTAAAGTGAAACGAAACCCCTGTGCCTGTAGGACCTTATAGAATTATGTTTTCTCCGGTAATTATTATTTTTTATTTATGATGAAACTACGCTAAGAAAAAAAATTCTAATATCTGAAACATATTTATGCCATACGTGCGTGAAATCCGGCCGGTTTCAGTTGAGTGTCGACGCACAGAAAGTGCCGGGTTTCACACTGTAGTGTGGAACCCTACACATCTGTATAATCATCTGTGCGTAACCCATGGGCATGCGCAAATGCACGGGTCGATGTGCAGATCGATGCGCAAATGGTCGTTGCAATATCATCGTTGGATTCCACACATCCATTGCACATCGACTCGCGCATCGACTCATAACATCGCCCACTGCCTCACTTGTTGGTATCCACATAACCCTCTCACTATTCTGTCGTTAAATTTATTCATTTATTCAATATAAAAGCAGTGAAATTAAATTGACAACCACATCATACCCGACAGTGACGAGGAGATTGATCTCTCGGGAGATTTATTTGATGGAGATTCGACATTTCTCACCGAAGCAACCGTCGGTTCTCCGCCAAATAAAAAGCTGTGTCTGGATGATGAAAATGATGAAAATAACAACTGGAATGATGAAAATCTTCTACCAGAAATTTCGAAATCAGCACAAGAAGTGAGGAATAATTTGATCCCCGAAAAATCGGTTGATAAATATTTTTTTTATTTTTGATCTTGATTTTGATTTCTTTTGTTTTTCAGTGGGGGGGGGCGAAGCCCCCCCAACCCCCTCTCTCAGCAGGGGCTCCGTCCCTGCACCCCGCGGGGGCTTCGCCCCTCGACCCCACCAGGGACTTCGTCCCTGCACCCTACCGGGGGGCTTCGCCCCCCTGGGCCCCCTTCTGCCCCCCCCCGACCCCTTTTCGCCGCGCACGCACTTATGGTGTAAAATAGTATACGCAACTCGTGCGGGCAGCAAGCGGTTACGCACTTGTTGCGTAATATACTATTTCCTGAGACAAGTAATTTTTCTTCAATTGTT